TGTGTGTGTGTGTGTGTGTGTGTCTTTTCCTGATCCCCGTCCTCCGATTTATGTTCCCCAATATAACGTGAATTTCTGCTTGAGTTTTTTGTGTGCGTTTGTGACCTTCTAGGCCTACTTCTAGAATTGCCTGTGTTGGTTCTACACCAAAGTGTAGGCTAAGGCTAGTCTAGATCTATACTAGATTTAGATACGTCTCATTGAAAACACGCCAATTTGTTACCGTAGCTCGAGACTAGATTCTATGCTCGTCCAATGAAATTAGTTGAGAACAAATTGACCCATTGGACACACATTATATGGTGTATAATGCTAAAGATAGTGTTGTTTTCAGACTTGACACCACTTCACTCGGTGGCAATTGACGCTACCTAATATTATATCACTAACTCATCAGTTACATCGGGTGATTGGGTAAGATTGAAGAATACCGGACCATCGGACTGACTTTGCCTGCCTATGTCTCAACCTTAAGAATTCATAATTTTCCCGTTTTTAATATCTCTCAATGGAGAATCTCGGACCGGTATATAGATCTATATCTATTCATTAAAATTTTGTCAGGGGGGAGACCCCCCTGAACCCGCCCCACCTACCCCACTTTCTCGCGCAATAATGTACGGGTGGTCCGGTATTCTTCAATCTTCCCAATTTGTCATTTGAACACCAATAACGTACACCTACGCACAGAAACCCTACTCACACCTTTTCCTACAAAATGTCAAACAAGTTACAGCAATCAAAAGGACATTATAGCAAAGCTGAGCCCGCTTGCGTGCACAACTCCAGTGAGAAATGGTGATAGTGGTGCAGTCAAATCGACTGCCACCAAGTGCCAGGTGCCAGTTCCAGAAGAGATTGTGCTATTTTTAGATTGGGAATTACCTGGCAAGCGAGATCAATGATTATAGTTATGGGCTAGGCGATCATAATTATATGACCGTCTAGGTTATGGGTTATACAAGGAGCTTAGAACTACTTTTAATCTCCTTGGGGTTATACGGTCTCTGAGCGAGATTATCATAGGCTACGCAAACAAACAAAACCGTACACGAAGACATCGCATAATGTACGGCCTACTGCCACGCCAGTGAATTAAAAATTTTTAATGGCCTATAGCCAAGGACCTAATTACAGAAACAAAACTTGTTATTATGAGAAATTTAATTTTAAAGTGAACACATTTGTTGCACTAGATATTCTCAAAACATGCTTTTAATAAGCATAACGGGGTTAGTAAACAATTAAAATGGACTGGCTTAACTTTTAAGAATGATATAATTCTCGGCTGTAAATCTTTTTAAAAAATACATGTAGGCCTATCATAAATACTGGGATTTTTAATTGTCGTTTATTAAGGAATTTCCGAGAAAACAGTCAACATATTTAAGCCCAATAATTGCCCCAGTAGCTACCTTTTAAAATAATGATTGCTGAAATCATCGACCCGCTTCATGGATTTTAATGTGGTATTTTAAAAGGAATTTTCGAGAATACAACTAATAGGTGTTTACAAAAATATTGATTTATTAGACAAATTGATACAAGTCATTGTGCAAAAGCTGAGGCTATATATTATTTGACAAATTGCGCGCGATTTTTTTTTACCGCACTATAAATGTGGACTGGTCAGGGCGACGTTTAAACAGCTCGTATAATGAGCAGGGTGGGGGCTCAGATTGTTCATGTAAATGG